TAAAAAATGTTGAGAAGCCCAAATTGCCCAAACTAGTTTGGGCTTTGAGAAAACAGTTTGGACCAGAAACCTTACTCCTTCATAAGCATCATCAAACTAGTGCAGAAAAAAAACCTTAATTGACAATCCATGAATAAATCAGAGTGTCATACATAGTGATCAGTGGGGGAAATTTCTCAAAAAAATGACCAATCAAACACATACATTTCCATTTTTGGACTAAAAGAATCTACACAGCCAATAAAATGTTCAGCGACTAAGTAACTCACACCATACTAAGTTTTCAATGTTCTTTTGATGGAATAGATCCATAAGATACATTAAATTTTAGCATCAATCACTACATTAACATTATTGTATAATCTTTTAGCCTCTTCAAAAGCTTTAGCTGACCAAGAACCAATTATTATGTGATCTAATGATGAATTAAACACATCTTTTTCTTCCTTGTCAACACTTGATTGTGGATATAGTTGGTACCATAAAAAAATAATCCACTAGAATGATGACAAGTGGTGATAATACCATCATTCTTACAATAAACACTTAACCTAACACACCAGAATTATCTTCTTTTGTTTTCTTTCTTTTCTTGGCATAATTTAGGATGACAATCATAACAAATTTGTGAGGCAAAAATTACAGCATGGATCATCTATACTTGAAAGTTAAAATTTTTGAAATATTATGTTTATATCTAATTTTAAGTGATTTTAACCAATTAATCCACACATTGGATTTTAAAAAACCCATAAGCTTTAAAGGGGGAACCTATTAATCTAAAAAAAAAAATTTGTCTCAAATTTTCTTTTCATAGATTTTTTAAATTTGTAAGTTATTGGGGTGCGCAACATTCTAAGAAAATCAAAACCAATTAGTCATATATTGATTGGTTATATGTGATTTTTTTTTTGTGATCTGCATATCACATACAGGATTTCTGAAATTTACATAAAGAACATATTAAACATATTGTTTTCAAAACGCAACTCCTCCTCCGTTTTCAAAGATATATATAGGCATTAAATTTCCATGAAAGGTGGTACATACATTATACTTTAGAGGCATGGAAAGATTTAATAGATTAAAAATACCAGTGGCATTGAAATACAGAAAATTTCTTTCTTTATTGTAATACTTCTATCTATTGCAACTTCTGAAAAAATTGTATGAAATAAAGATTCTCTCTCCATAGCACTGTTCTACAAATGTAACCTAATTAAAAACCTCTAATAATTTTCAATTGTGTTGATGATTTAGTAGCAGTAGGGCCATATTGTGACAATGGTATTATTATTATAATAATGCGATTGAGTATTGTTATAATGTGGTAATAATATCATTATAATATGATGGTGGTTGAGTAATAGCAGCAGTATATTGTTGAGTAGAGTAGTAGTAGTATTGTGATGGAGTAGTAGTGGTGGTGGTATATTTTGATGATGATTGGGTAACAGCAGTAGTATTGTATTGTTGAGTAGTAGCAGTAGTATTATGTTGTGGTGATGTAGTAGCAGCAGTATTATAACATGATGGAGTAGTAGTAGTGTTATTATTATCATATTTTGTTTGAATAGTTGATGATTTCAGTAGTAGTATGATTTTTTAACTGTGATGGTGGTGGTGATATTATTATTATTTGAATTTGGTAACAAATTTATGGTCTTCTATAGTTACATGTCTATCTAGGTAATTTTTTTTTAGTGATTCACAACCTGTTGTGAAAATGTTCTTCTTGTTCATGGCACAACATAACTTGCAGAACATTACATATCTTCTGTGTATTTTTTTTATGTCTAGCCACTTACACCACCCTCCAAAAAGTATTCGGACAATGTTTTTTATAATTACGCAAAATGCCACATAATGAAAGTACATAAAATTTATATCATAATGTGACTTAGGTTTTGAAGAACCTATGTGAAAAATCCCGTTTTTTTATCATTCTTTTATGATTTTTAGTTAAAAAAAACAAACACCAGTCAAAATTTATCTTATTTTATGATGATCATTTTATGTTTTTTTTTAAATTTTCAGCATTCTCATAATGTTTGAGTGTCATGAACTGTAGACTTTGGAATATCAAGTGTCTTTGCGATTTTTGCAAGAGAACTACCAGCTATTCTTAGACCTAAAATTTTCCTTGCTCAGCTTCAGTTAATCCTGAATTTTTGCCATTTTTAAAAATCAAAAAAAATTGTGAAATTTTTTTTGATCTAATCAATTGGTATCAGTTTATTTTTAATAACAAAAATTTCACACATGACAGGAACATAAAGTTTTAGTCATTTATTTATGAGGACCTAAACTACAAGCTATTAAATTTTTATTGAATTTTATAATATAAAATTTTGAGAAACATAAAATTATTAAAAATTCGCAAAGATAATCCTCGCGATTTATTTGGTGTTCGTTTTTTTTTAACTAAAAATCGTAAAAGAAAGACAGTATAATGAAAATTTATATGTAGAGTCGCCAAAACCTAAGCCATATATGGTATAAATTTTATGTACGTTCGTTATGTGGCATTTTGCGTAATTATCGAAAAACATCGTCCGAATACTTTTTGGAGGGCAGTGTATATACAAGATTTGTTACATGAATAATAAAAATGGGAATTGATCGTTGTTAAAAAAAATGGCAAGTCTTTTTTTGAAAGTATAAAAAGGAACAGGGTAATTCACAATTAATTTCCTTATTGTTAGTGAGGAACTAACAAGTCTTTTTGATAAAAATGCAAAGAAGACGCCCCGTTACCATTAATTGAAAAAAAAGGGAGATTGGTCGTTGTTAAAAAAAGAACCAACCAAGGTTTTGAAAGTGCAGAATTTTTTTTTTTTGAGAACACCACTAAAAAGGAAACAGCATAATTTGTGATTAATTTTCTTATTGTTGTTAACGAAAAACTTAAAGAAGATGCTTCGTCGCCACAAAAAAAAAAAAAAACCAGGACAAATGATAATTCGTAAAATACTTTTTAATAATAAACAATAAACAATTCAATTGTCAACTAATCAAAAATAATTCGTAAAATAGTTTTTAGCATTTTTAATAATAATCATTAATCAATTCAATTCCATATTAAATATTTAATACCAATTAAAATAATAATCAATTCAATTGTCAACTAATCAAAAATTGTCAAAGATGGTTCGTAAAATGTGTTTTTAGTATTTTTAATGTTAGTATGTAACGAAAAAACCAATTCAATTGTCAATTAATTAATTGATAGAATAACGCTTTTCTTATAAAGTAAATTAAACAACAAATGTAAGAAAGATGCTCCGCCACCAAAAAAGTATTTTTAGTGTCAGCAAAACAATAACAAAAAACAATAATTAATTCAATTGATTTTTTAAATTAAATGCTAACTAACCAGAATCGTCAAAAGATAATAATAAAACAATGTTTTCTTCTAATTTATTTCATACTATTTTAACAATTAATTAAAGAACACATCAATAATAGTAATCTTTGTTCGTTCTCCTGGGAAATGATTTATTATTGCACGATAAATGTTTATCACGTGGAATTTATGTAGATCATCGAATAAATTATGTGGATCGATTTCACCAAAAAATTAAAGATTTTTTCTATATATTCATTGTCCACTCCTTCATTTCACTTCACGTTCACTAAAGGACTATTTTAAGAAGTAAATAATTTACCATATGGCACAGATTTGGCTAAATAAAGTGAAAACATTGATTGTGTCAAAACCAAAAAACCATACATAAAAAGAAATTATAAACTTTAAGATCATGACATGAAAAATAATAAATTTCTTCTTGTGTTAATTAAACTAATATTGCGCATTTTATCATTGTTTAGTGTTGTTTTATGCTGTGCAAATGACTTTTTTTCATTTTCAAAAATTGGAATATTAATTGATAGCTAGATTTTTTTATTATATTGGTAATGTACATTGGATTCCATATAATGAATTTAATAGTATTGAATACTTAACTAAAGTTGGTTTTGGAGAAATTCATGGATTAGCAATATTTTCCAGATGTTGTGTTGAAAAGATTATATAATTCTAATAATAAAGTTTTAGATATTTTAAAAGATGTAAAATTTGTGATATACAGTATTAATTAAGGTTTCTGGCCGGAACTCTCTTTATTAGTAGCCGAAATTGCCAAAACACTTTGGTTAAAAATTACTTTTTTATAAGCCCAAACTATTTTTTGTTATTAGCCAAAATTGGGCGAAATTACTTTAAAGTTGTTTAAGTTAAAATAAGTTGATTGGTATAGTTTTTTAATGTTCATGTTTATAAAAAATGCTGAGAAGCCCAAATTGCCCAAACTAGTTTGGGCTTTGAGAAAATGATTTGGACCAGAAACCTTAGTATTGATGTGCAAATATTAAAATTATCTATAAAATCCTAAATGATCTAATTATTTGCAGAATGATGCATCTAACTGCTCATCCTGTTTTGTTTGTGGTGCTTATAATATCATTGAATAATAAAAGTATATACTCCATTTCACATTAGAAAATATATATAACAATATAATAAATTTCAGCATTAAAATAAATTGCTAATTTATACCTTTAAATTTAGCCACCCAATTTATAACAAAAACTCTAATGATTTCATTCATAAAATAGTAAGTGGAAATAAATTTTGGCTTATAAAAAAAAATATATATATATGAAATATCAACTTCAGCCCATATTAATATTTTGTATTGTAAATAATAAAATACCTTATTCAGATACTTTTTGGAAGCCAGTGTATATTCATGAGGCAATTAAAATTTATGTATGATGTTGATTTTTTTTATTACTACTACATCCAGAAAATATAAAAAAAAATTTGTATGTGTCAATTGTAAGTTTAATAGTAAAAAAGTGTAAAACTTATATCAGTGCTGTAAGATTTACATGATATTACATCAGCATCATAAGATTTACACAAGTTTACACTAAATTAATTTCCTGATGTAACTAGTTAAGGTTTTTTTGGCCCTAACAAAAACATACACAGGATCTGTTTTCCATGCATTTTTGGAAAACTAGAGACATTTTCTGTGTTTTCTGTACAAAAACATGCTCTTTTACAGGAGGATTCTGTAAGGTTTATGCATTTTCTGTTTGGTAAAATAGAAAATATACCATTTCCCATGCATATTTAATGATGTGCCATTCATAGTAAGCTTGATTTTTTTTGCATACAGCACATGGTAAATACACATAGTGTGCATAGTGCATATGCATAAATGTGTAGAATCACACATTATGGGTGTAAAATTTTGCTCAATGTGTCATTTTTAACTATGTGTAGGGCACATCACTATGCATCTTCCATGCATTTCCATATGTTTTCCATGCAAGGTTTTTTATAGGGCAAGTATTTTGTATTACCATTAAAGAATACTTTGACCATTTAAGAGATAATAAAACTTATTGTATTAATTATCTTTGTAATCCTCTTTCTTCTTTTCTTTGTTAACCCACTGTTGAATTACTTCTATCATTTTGCTTCTAGTATTTGCTTTCTGTTTTTTTATTGTGGAGGCAGCAGCACCTTTTTCCTCTACAAGTAATTCATGAATTTCCATTGCCATTTCACCAAATGAAAAATCAGGATTCAACCCAGTCTTTTTATCAAATAATTGTTTGAAATCCTTCCATAATTTTTCAATTTCTATTGAATATTTTTATCACCAATAAGTTTGTTTTATTTTTAAATTGGTTTTTTCTTGTTTCTATTCTATTAATTATTTGATCAATTTTTTGATTTATGATATAGAATTGATTTTGTAAGTTTGATAGTGAAGTAAGAGACCAAGCAAGAGTCCAATTAACAATCCACAAAAAAGTTCATAGTTGAAAGTAAACATTTTTAAAAATGTTATTATGGATAAAAATATTGTAAATATTTATTTATTTTTGTTTTTTAAACCAAAATAAAATTATGTTTAATAATGATTATTAGAAGGATTGTTATTTGAATTTTTTTATCTGAAACCTAAGTGAATTGGTGATGTTTTTATAATGTTTCAACATAAGGCAGGATATTTATCTTGTTTCAATGTCAATGAGAGAAAAACAAAGATTTATAAAACATCTTGAATGTAAGATTGGTTCAGTATTTAATAATAGGATTCATTGGATTTTATTTTCCTTCATTTTGCTTTCTTTTTTAATGTTTATTATTTTTCTTTCCTCTTGGTAAATTTCATAGGGGATTTTCTCTTAGATAAGCTTCAGGTGCATGAGTGTCATTTATTTTGAAAATATAGGGAGCAATTTTTTCACCTTGTTCCTTTTTTAAAATACTTCTAATTGTGCTATAATTCTTGGGTTCCATGGTAGATCTAATGTAAATTAACTTCATATTAACTATTTTTATATAGAGGTAATTCTATATATCACCTAATATTAAGAGAATAACAAATGGAAGATTTTAATAATCACATTACTAAATTTTGAACCCTGAAATTTTTGGTGGTATGCCCCAATTTACAATCGATTAAATAATCAAAAAATCAGAAAAAAATCAAGTGTATGAGGGAAATAATATAATAATAATAATGGCAGTAGTAACAACAACAACAATAATAATAGTATAGTGATATTTGAAACAACTTTAATTTACAAATCCATACTCTAATATACATATTAATATACACATTCTAAACGTTATAAGCATACTGACAATCATAATGGGAAAAAAAACCCAATGCTTACTATTTTAACCAAGAAATATTTGACAATTCCTTCTTTGTCAGTTCCTTCGGAAGCATTTTTCTCTGATGTGGGACAACAAATTACTTTGTTACGAAATAGACTCAGCTCACAGTCTGTCTTTTCTTGAAACGAAATAAAGAATTTGTTACCCATCAAAGAATAATAATTTTAAAATTTATATTGTAAATAAAACGAGATTTATTGAAGTGACGCCCAATTGTGATTTGGGCATGTGAACTAGTTATTAATATGTAAAAAGTTAACTCATAAGCATAAAACAATCAAAAGCTACTACTACTGCAATGTAAAATCGATTGTGAAAAATTACTGAACATACCTGATAAAATGTTTTTGTGAGCAGAAAATTATTTCGAATTGTTGTTAATTTCATTTGACAAAATTGACGAAACGTGACAAAATGGTGGTAATGTGACAAAATAAATGTCAGATGATATATAGTTAGCTTCCAATTTGTTAAGTGCTAACTCATGTAAGTGATTGTTATTATGAAGTTAATAAAATTGACAGTTACTTATTATCAGAAAACAGAGATGATGATTTAGAGCAAGAATATTATAGTATTACAATCATTTTGGAAATAATATTGAAAATATCATCACAAATGAAGATGATAATAATTCTCAGAAAATATCTATTATATATACACAGAATTTTGTCGTCTCTTTTCATTTTTCATCATATTTCTTCTTTTGTCAACTTTCTTTTCGTCAATATGCCTTTGGCAGTAAAATCATTTCGTCAGATAGCTTTAATAGCTAGCCACCAATATTTGTTGTTATGAAGTTTGAGTTTTGCCATCATGAACCATCGCCGCCACATTAATTATCATTTTTTATATGCATAATAACATAAACAATTGACTGGCAAGAATTTTCGGAAAGAAGAATAATTAATTGAGGGTTCATAATAAGTTTTCAATGCCTGTTAATTATAATTTACAAATCTTCTACATTAAAATTGTTTAGTTTTTTGTTAATTTTTTCTTATCAATGCTCTTCTACCAATGATTCAATAATACAAAGAAATAAAACATAAGGCTCGAAACACTTTATTTATTCATCTAATAGGTTTCTTTGGGTTTGTCATTCTTTTCGGTACCTTTTATATGTGAAAAATACGTACGTAAGGAATGAACGCATCATGGGTAATATGGAAAACAATTCTTTTGAATTTGGCATGGATTATTATTTTTTAGAAATTAAGTGGAAAATTTTTATAAATGGGGGGGATTATATAACTGACGAAATCTTTACATTGTTTACTTGATACAATAATGAGATACAAGGCTTGAAATATTAACATATTTTGCAGAGATAATATATATATAATAAATAATAATAAAAAAACTGATTTTTACAAATTTTTTTCTCTTATATAAAAATTAATATTTAAATCTTTTGGTACCATTAAAGACAAATATGTACGATAAACCTCAATAAAATCATTTTTATGGATTGTATCATTAGGTAAAGTCCATTCATATTTATTCACTACAAATAAATAATATAAATCATTAATGATTAAAAAAAAATCAATAATTATATAATCAATTATTTTACTCCAGCAAATAAAAGAATACTCACGTAACATTGCCAAGAGAGTTTTTTGTTCAGCTAAACTGAGATTCATTCCAATACAAATTCTAGAACCACCACCAAATGGTATAAGCTTAGAAGTTGCTTCATTACTCGATGTGTCAAATCTTTCTGGTAAAAATGTTAATGGATTTTTGTATAATGTTGATGAAAGGTGTTGCAAATAAATTGCTGGTAATAATACTGTATCTAATAAATTGAATTATTATTGTTAACATTTATTTATTTGCTAATTCTAATTATCTCCTGAATACTTACTTTCAGGTATGATGAATTCACCAAAACGGAATTTTTTTTGAGCGACTCTAAGGCCAGTAGTACTTGCAGGTGGATGTAGACGTAAGTTTTCATTAATTATCATATTGAGTAATTTCATTTCTTTGAGTTGATCAGATGTAGGAATGGCATCCGGCTTGCAACCATTCACACCATCACCGCTCATAACATTTAACACTTCTTGTCTAGCTTTATTCTGATACTCGGGATGCATTGCCAAATAAGCTACTGCACATGATAGTGCTGTAGCTGTTGTGTCATGACCGGCCAAGAAAAATAATTTCAAATCGTTCATGATTTCATCTTTTGATAAAATATATTTTCCACTCTCATTTCTTTGAGCTTCTAACATTAATGTTAATAAATCTTTATCATCATTATTGTTATCTTTGTTGTTGTTGTTTGATGATGATGATTCAATTTTTTGAATTTTTTCATCTACAATTCCAGCCAAAAATTCATTTATGAGATCAAGTTTTTTCATTAATTCTGTTCGTTTAAATCCTGGAATTTTTTCAAGTATCGGAAAAATTAAGTAAGTTGTATTTGCCATTGCTTTCATTACTGAGTTATATGCATCCAAGATTGAACTCATGTTATTTGAAATTGCCTAAATTTTTAATAGGATTTGATGGTTATTATTTGTTATATAGTAAAAAAAATATATTTTTGGATTTGAAAAATATTTTTTACATTAAAATCATAATCAAAAGTTGCACGACCAAGTACATCCAAAGTGTACCTTTTGAAAATAATTAAATAATTAATTAGTTAAAAAAGTCAGAGATATAATAGGCTTCACAATTCCTTCAATATCCAATTACTTATCATCATAACAATCATCATACCTTTGAGTCAGCGCGACAATATCAACCTTTGGATTTTTTTCTATCATTTTATCCATTTCTTTAAACAAATCTAAAGCTAAATTACCAAACAATTGTGTTGACCACCCACGATGAAATGCAGGACTTGCTGTTTTTCTATGTCTACGATGTTCCTATAAACAATAATAGTTATATAGTATTTTAGATGAAAATATTTGTAATAAGCATTCAATAAATATATAATAAACACATATGTGAGATAACTTACGTCTCCGTTTACAAACAACATATTAGAATGTCCAATATAATTAAATTCAAATTCTGACATTGGTCTTTTCTTTAAAAAATAATAAATTGTATTTAATTAATATATATATAAAGTACCGTGATAATAAATATATATATGTATGTGTGTGTTGAAGATTTATTACTTTTGAGTCAAATTTCAAGGTATCTTTTGATTTAAAAATTTAAAAATTAGTTATTTTTTTTAAAAAAATGATATTTTCACCAAATCGATTATTAATTGAAAATTTACCATCTTTATGCATCACCTCTTTAAAGTATTCAGGTTTTGCTATGTAAATAACCCAATTTTGAAGCAATACATCAAAAACCTACACAAATATTTTATAAATGATGAATTGATGAATGAGCCAGTTTTGGACATAAATAAAAAGTGACACATACTCTAGCAATGCCCTTTTCTTCAATAATTGGCAAGAAAAGTTCTCGCAATGTTTTTTTAAAGGGATCTTTTTTAATATAATGTCTCTTCGTATACTCAAAAAATGGTACAACTGGGATGCCTTTTAACTCTGGTGAAATTTTGGCTTTATTATATATCTTATAAATAAGATACAATATTGTAATTAATATAATATTTAACAAGTAATTCATTTTTTTAATTTTTAAATTTTTACGAGAAAAAAAAGTCGATATATATAATAATATTAATATTAAATACTAATATAATAATAAGCAATACAATGAAATGCATTGACTATAATAATTAACATGACAAAGATTTTTTAGTTTGTTTATTCCTCCTTTTAACATGAGTTACTTTTTAGTAATTTAATATTGATAATTTTAAATTAGTAATCAGATATAGTGTACAAAGGAAACTGCTAAAAATAAATTTATCGGAAAAACGAATAAAATGTTAATAATTAAAAATGATTTTCCAGTTTATTATTTAATGTGTAGTACTAATTAATGGGGAAATTATTATTGTTGAGACTTAATAGTCTAAGCTCTTTAGTGAAACAAACAATCAGAAAGAACTTGAATATCTGGCAAAATGCGGATTTGAAGCAAGCAACATGGATAAAATATATTAAATAGATAATCTTTAAACATAAATAATTGTTTATAATAATTTATTGACCGTTGCTGTGATAATTATGGATTAGGCGAATAATGAATCAATACGAAACGGTCAATCGATCATAAAAAACATGAATCTTTTTCTTACAAAATGAATTATTGCCTGATATAATGAACCTACTTACCACTGCTATATAGCAATTAAATTCATATACAACATATACGGAAAAGGGAATAAACCGTATGGAAAATGATAATAATAATAAACAACCCGTATAGAAATATGCAAATTTCCGTATTAGTATCAAAAGTACAGAATCGATACAGAATCGATACGAAATAATACTGAATAAACATATTTTAGTTAATGGTAAAATGTGTTTTAATTAATGGTAAAAACATGTTTTAATTAATGGCAAAACGTGTTTTAATTAAGTTTTAGTTACTGAAATCATACAGAAAATTATCTCTTAAACGGTCAGAGTATTCTTTAATGGTAACACAAATTAAAATTTTGATCATTCTTATTGGTCAATTTAAGATTTTACAAAAACCACAAAGGACAACTGGATTTTTATTTTACAAATTGAATCGGCTGAATCTCAAAGATCATTTTTGTATTAGAAAGTGATGCCCTCAGAAAAAAAATTTTATATCAGAAAAATTTTATCGGCTATCAATAGCCGATTAACCGTTTAGGGGATAATAGATTTAATATATTTTTTTTTGAAAAATACAAAAAACAGTATTTAGGGATGATGTTAAATCGATTAATTTTTCGTAATCGATAATCATAATCGAAATAATAATAATAATTAATAATAATAGTATAGTAATAGTAATAATAATGAGTTAACAACTTTTACATATTACAGTATTAATAAAATGAAAGAGTCTGGGTTATATATTTATTCACAAACTCCAAGATTTTTTGTTTAATTTTTGTTCAAATTAAAAATCATCTAAGAATATCATAATAACAACAATATCAGTATGCGATGAGTAATGATATTGTGTAAAAATGATTTAATAAATAATTAAATATAAAAAATACAATCTCCACCGTATATTTATTCACCAACTCCAAGTTATCATCTGATTATAGTAATAAAGAGTAAGATCAAAATAATTAATAGCTAATATTAAATATCTTAATATAGTGTGTAATGTGATAAGCCATAGATCCTTCAATTGAAGGCGAATCTTTTTATTATGTTGTAATTATAATTATACCACTCCCATATGTTTCTTTGTCTATTTCGAGAAAAGTTAAAATAGCCGTTTTCCGCTTTTGATGATTCCTAGAAAGCTTTCTAATTGAATATCTAAGCCATACTACATATTAAGTATATAAAAGGAACTTTTAAGTAAAAAAATTGTTATTAGTTATATATAATAATAATAGATGTCTATTTCAAGGAAAGTTAAAAATAGTTGTTCGTTTTTGCTGATTCCTAGAAAGCTCTCTAATAGAATTATCTAACTATACTACATACAGTTCACTCTCTCTATAACGGCCCGTCTGATTTGGCAAAAAAAGAGAGACCGTTATAGAGTTTTCAGATCATAGTCATGTGATAAATTATAATGTGATACAATATAAAGATTTTTATTTTATTATTTTATTATTAATTTTAACACATAAAAGAAAGAAAATTTGCCTTCTGTAATTTTGTCGATTTTGCAATTAATTTCTTTTTGTGTTAAGTTCTGTTTGATTTTTGATATCAATGTTTTCACCTTATAAAGCGAATTTAGTCATACGGCAAATGTTTTGTTTATGGCCCTAATTTTTTTTTTTTATATATTAATATATATAGTCGAATAAAAAATATGTTGATTGTTGATCGTTATTATATATATTACTAATTTTTTTTGTTAAGAATAAATTGTGATTTGGGTAGAATTAATTACTTTTTTTAGTAAATACATTAATAGAACCGATTACTTTTTTTTGGTAAATGCATTAATAGAATCGATTACTTTTTTTGGTAAATGCATTTGACAATTATTATTTATCAATATTACTTTTTTTCCCGATTGTTAATTTTTGAGGCTAGGAATTATTAAAAAAATTATTACTCTATTGGGGTAAAATAAAAAAATACCAAAAACAGTTCTTTTCAATTGTTTATACACTGCGCAACCCAAAATCATTTACTTTTTATTATTCTTTGAGTAAAAGTAAAAAAAAATACGTCAAACTGTTTACACACTGCGCAACCAAAATTATTACTTTTTATTTTGAAAAAAATACGTCAAAATCCAAAAAAGGTTTTTTTCAATTGTTTACACGTTGCGCAGCCAAAACTATTACTTTTTATTATTATTCGAGTAAATCCGAAACCGTTTTTTCAATTGTTATTATGTAGTGTCCTGCAGCTGCGCAACTAAAGTTATTTGGAATGTTATTATTATTATTTTAAACGATAAACAATATCTTTTAAACTATGGCTAAAATTTACGTCCTAATTCTTTTTTGGTACAGATAACGTTATAATTAAAGTATTAAAGTGTGGGTTCATGGATACACCACGCGCTCAAATTTCAAAAATGCAATAAAATAATTTTTTAAAAAAAGGGTTACACGTGATTTTGGTTAAAAAACTATTTTCAAATTTAGATGATGATCAAAAACAAGTCTAAATTTAGCAATGATCATAGTGTACAAATTTCTCATGAGCATAGCAGTCGCAGGACATTGCAGATCTACATGGGGTCAAGTGTCACTCATAAAATTAATGATCTTCATGCATAATTTTATATGTATGGTGTGTCTAGTCTAGTCCCAGCAATTGACATAATAAGTGGCCAAATTTGAAAATTATATATGAACACATGGATGCTTATATGAATGGGCTTACAGATGAGCAAGCAAAATTTGCAATTAAGCAATATAAATCTCATAGAAAAGTAACACACAATATTTTTAATAATGAAAATAATGAATAATTTTTTGAGTAAAAAACTGTAAAAAACTTCTGTAATAAAAAAATATTATGTGATTTGTGGATCTAACAACGTTGCACATGTAATGAAAAGAATGTCTAGTATATTTCCTAATATGCTCCAATGATACAGAATCTAATGCTTTTGGAACCACCTTTTTCAATCCATTCCAAGAATAATCACAATTGTTTTTTGCATATTGTTTGGCTTCCCCCAATATAAAATTCAGTTCACAGTGAAATTTTGGGTAAAATATTACTTTGTGCCCCCTCTGCTTAATTATTTCTTGAATTAATGGTTTTTGAGCTAGAAAATCAGGCCAGGCTTCCAGAATATGACAAGCACAACAATCATTATTTTCATTTAATCATTACCACAAAATGTTTGTAACTATACATGCAGCCCAAAGTATTTTGACACTGTCATAAAGGGGTTACACATGTAGTAAAGGGGTGTTACACTTATGTT